AAAAAAAAAAAAATACACGGCAAACCTTCTAAAAATATACCCACAACCTATCTGCAAATCTCCACCTCCATCCTCGTTGCTTGACGTGTATTCCTGTCTAAACGTTTTTATAAGGTCCCCCAGACACATTTTCCGTGCCCTCTACGTGTGTATTTACTCGTATATACACACACCTCTACCAGAGCATCGCTCGGTTATCCCCAAATCTTTTAAAGTTGCCCCTACACGCGTGCGAACAGGCGAACACAGACGCTCCTATTTATTAAATATCACCCTAAAAAAAAAAAAAAAAAAGGGGGAGGGGAGGGGAAAGGAAAATAGTAAAAGTTTACTCAACCCGCCACTTAAATACAAATTACAAAAACATAAAACTTAACTTATGAAGATTCAACAGCCATAAAAAAAAGAGTAGCCTGCAAGAAATTGGAGGAGGATGGTAACAGAGACTTCAAAGGCACATGGCCAAGCAGAGCAATAAAAATTTATGGAGGATGTAATTATACCGCTCTGCAAACAGGCGATCGTAAATCTCCGCGAATGGTTATTTTACAACTGGTGCAATAAGATTTCTACAAGACTTTGAGGTGCTACTTACTATAAAGCAAAGCCACTTTAGTTCACTTACCCGTGCTTACATGGACTTTTTTCATCCAGGGGTAAACTACCGGCTCTTTGCAAGAGGAATTGGAAGGGCTTTGGTTCAGAGAGTTTTGGCTGCAGGAGGGTGGCGGGCTGGGGGTGACCGGCTCGCGGGGCTGGTTTGGCTCGGAGAGGTGGCTCTGCAATCCGGCCGGAGGATGGACATGACCCCGGGGGGATAACACCGCTGCTTGGTGGCCGGAGCTCTGACAGGACGAGTAGAGCTGCTCCTTGCAGGCTGACCGCGGCTGGTACATCGCTTCATGTTGGAAAGTGCTCTCTCGCCTCTGGCTGCTGTAATATTCCGGCGAGTGATTGGGAAGGTAATCGCTGTGGGAATACTCTTCACAGGGTGGGAACTTGGGGTCCACATAGTTGGAGTTGATCAAAAACGAGCTCATGGCCATTAATTTCTTAGAATTGCACACACGAAAAAAAAATATATATCTCTCTCTCTCCTAAAATTTATTCCTGTCCCCCCCCTTTCCTCGTTTTCCTGTTTCGTGGAACCCTCCTACTTACTGTCAAGTGAACAAAGTTGAGTCCATGTGACAGCGCGGGCCAATGGCGAGGGGCACGGCGAGCCCCGGATAAGGAAACCTGCCCAGTCCGGGCTCTCCCGGGGCCCCCCAGCATCCCCGGGGAGGCGGCCCGGGGGCTCCCGCTCCCCTCCGGCCTCCGCCGGCCCCGCCGGCCCCGGGCTCCGGCAGCGCCCCGTGGGCGAGCACCGACACCCCCCCTTGGGCCCACACCCCTCGGGGGTGTGTCCTGGCTCGGGGACCCGAAGGGAAGGGGAGGGTGGGAAAATAAAAATCCTTTTCCCTTCCCCCCCCCGCCAAAAAAAAAAAAAAAAAGATAATTAGAATATAAGGCAAAAATGATTTTTCGGGGGGTTGGCGGCCGCTCCCCAGCGCTGCCCCGGCACATGATCCATGGAGGCCCCCCCGGGCGGGGGCTGCATCTCATTCCCCGCTAAGGTGATACGGGAAGGGCCATTGCGCCCCGAGCCTGGCAGAGATGAATAGGGCTGGGCTGGGATCGATAAGAAATTCATCAGCTAATTCGGGGTACCCGGGCTCCTAAATCACATTTAGCCGGGCTCCGAGATTGACTGTTTTCCCACGCACCGATGGAAAAAAGGAGCCCGTCCTCCGAGCGAGAAATCAAGGACTTGATGAACAATTACAAAAGCGAATTAGCCCAAGTCCTAATGCATCTTCGCCTCGCCCTTCTCGTAATAAAGACGCTTTAAAAGCCAGAGCGAAGCAGCAGCTTTCAAAAGCCACCCCCAATTCCTCAAATTCGCCTTTAGACCCGAAACGCGCGATGAACTCCTCACAAGCGGCAGCGAAGAAAGCCATAATATATATATATATATATATTTGTTTCTCGGTGTCGGTGCTGAGATTACACGAATTAAAGCGATGGTGGGATCCCGGCTCTCAAATCGCAGCAATAACGCCCGCGCTCACCCCCCCCCCTTCCCCCATCCCCTTGGCGGCTCAGATTTTATCTCCAAGCGATGATAAAGTTTATCGCAGGAGCGCCGGAGTTGAGCTAAGGTCAAATCCAAAGTATTTCTTTCTAGCTATAAATCGGTTTTCTGGTTAAGACCTTGTTTTCACCCCCCATGTTTCGGGTTCTGGGGATGTGGGTGGCTTTTTTTGGGGGTGGGGAGGAAGGGGGGGATAATTCCTTCTGGGTTTGTGACCTGTAGTGTTTGTGTCAACTACATATTCCCCTAGATACGAATTTGTGACCCAACTTCCTTTACACAAATTCGGATCTACAGGGTACATATAGAAGACAGATGCGTCCTCCTCGGTCAGAGATCTTCTCCTACCGCCATAATTCTCTTCTGGGGCAGGGAGGGGGGAAAGTTTTGTGGCTCGAGAGATCGAGAATTAATCTATAGGTGAAGCCGGTTAAAATATTCACTCTTGAGAGGAAAGGCGATTAATTAAAGCACCCATTCAGCACGCGAATAGCTGATACCAGGAGAGAAAAACTGGGAGTTTTCCACCCTCTCCTCCGTATCTTGTACGTTAATTTGTCTCTGATCTTAAAAAATCAGCTTCTGGACTGAATATTTGAGTGTAGACGCACAACGAGACTCGAATCCAAATAACGGCCTTTTAAAAGTAAAATGTCACAGCTCTGTCCCCACCTCACCCCGAAACCCTCGCGATTATTTTCTGATGCGCGGCGCAAAGATTTAATCCATTTTTCGTTCTTAGAGGTCAACCAAGGTTTGGGTTTCTGGGTGCGAGTGCAGATAAATCGTATTTTAAAAAAAAAAAAGGGGGGGAAAGAAAAAAAAAGAAATAAACAGATGAAAAGAAATACAGAATGTAAAGGCAGATGGGACGACAGGTTTTTTTTTTAATGACAGGCAATTCTTTTTACAACCCGAGAAAAAGATCAAAGGCGTTTCATTTCCGAAAAAGGGATATAAAGCAATAAAATATTCATACTGTCTAGGTAATGAACCTTCATTCGGAACTAATGAGGGTAGCATCATGTTGAGATTTCGTTTAAAATTACAGTTGCCCAAGAGATTAAAAGTCCAGCACCCCCCTTTTCTCTTCCTTTTTTTTTTTTCTTCTCCTTCCCTTTGTATTTCAAAAGGCAGAACATTTTTTCGGTCAAAGCATCTCCCGAATTAATTGCATTTAAATGCCGCAGCAGAGAGGCTCTATCAGAGAAAACCTGCCCTTCCCCTGCTCCAAAATTCCTGTGAATATCTTCCATAGATTCCACGAACTCCTCCGTTTTCCCCAACAAAAGACAGTTATGGCCAAGAACGAAACCCCCGCCGCTCTCCCCGCTCGTGATGACGCGAAATTTTTCAGGTACTTTAAGGTGAACAGTCGGATTTGCTGCTAAAACCTGTAATTCCCCCAGAAACAGAAAAACCTAAGCAGCGTTTTAAGAAACACGCCCAAACGCAACACGGACAACCCCAAAATCATTTTATGCGCGTAAATAACCCCCGAATTTCCAGCAGGAGCAGCGAAGCGAAGGCTCTTTTCGCTCCGAGAGGAGTTTCCCACCTCCCAGAGCTGCTCCTCCGCCGCGCTGGGGAGCCGAGAGCGACCCTCAAATTTACCTTCCCCTCTAAAACCCGCCATAAAAGTGAGAAGTCAAATCTAATCTGCTCGTACAACGTGGAGAGGGATGCCATAAAATAACGCTACAGAACCAATCCCATTAGAGCTCCTTTTATTTATTTTTTTTTCTCTCCTCTTGGATTTTATTCCTCCTTTCCAATCCCCTGGCTGATTTATTTTATTGTATTTTCTCGCAGCCGGCACCGTAACTATCTCCTACCCGAGGAGACGAGCCTGAGTAGAAATAACTAGGCCTATTCTGCGTTTTTACCCCCCTCCCACATCCCTTTAAAAAAAAAAAAAATGGGTTTTAATTTCCCTTCCCGCTGACACGGGGCCGGCGTTTGCGAACCAGCACCCCTAGCGTCTACCAGAATCCTTTCCCCCCCGCGCACCTCCAAGAAATCTCCCCCTCGGCCACCTCAGATCCCGAATTCAAGGCAGCCCCTCCGCGCCCCCCCCCCGCCCCGCGCACCTTTCTGGCTGGGAACCCGCGCAAGTTTCTCCCGGAGAGTTTCCCCCCCCCGGGCTCTTCTCCAGTTCAGAGCGGCCTCGGCCTGGAGGGGATGGCGGGGGGGGGGTTCCCCTGGACCCCCGGCCTGTTCTGCCCTGCGGAGCCCCCCCAGCCCTGCCCAAAATCCCGGCCGAGGCACCTGCGGGGGCAGGGGGGGAACCCCCCGCTCCCGCTCTCAGCGGCCCTGGGGTCACCCCAAAAGAAGGGGCACCAAGCGGGGGGTGCCGTCCCCCCCCGGCCCAGGTGTGACCCCGCCGGGGGTACCTACCTTGGCAAACCGCGGCTCCTCTCCCCGGAGCAATCCCCGAGGGGGTTCAGGGCGCTCCCTCAAAACTTGGTGAGGTTTTGCAGGCGGAATCCTACAGGAACCCCCCAAACCCCCCCGCCGCCCCCTCCCCGCTCCAGCCCGGCTTGTCCTGCTCTCTCTCTCTCCGTGTTGCCTTTTCAGTGGCATTAATTCTCCATAAGAACACTAATTTCTCCCTCTCCTTCTCCTCCTTCTGTTTTTTTTGTGTCGTTCCTCTGTTTTGGTGGGCTCCGCCGGTGCCCCCTCCCCTCGCTGCCCCACCAGAACCCGACTATTGTCCTTCGAGGCGAGCGGAACTGCTCCTGGCAGCGCCAGGAGGCCCTCTGAGCATTTTGGGGTGGGAAACCCGCAAGTTTTGGTATTAATCTCATAGTTTGTCAGTCTTTGTTAAACAGCGAGGCGTGTCCGCAGCGCGGCGGCCGCCGAGAGCCGCTCTGACCCGCGGTTCACCCCGCGCTCCCTCCGCGCCGCTCCGCAACTTTTAGGGCTCTTTTCTCTTTCCCCCCCCCGCCCCTCATCCCCCCGGGTGTATTCCCCCCCCTTTCCCCCCCCGGAGTTCTCCCTCTCCAATCTGGAGATTTATTTTTTTAATTTAATTCTTTTTTCCTTCTCCCCCTTTCCCTTTCGGGAGCACGAAACCTTTCGGGTTTGGGGGAATTAAACCGGGATTTCCCCCCCGCCAAGCGAACGGGGAGCGCGGGAGGTCTGAGGTGTTTCCTTAGGGCAGAACTTTTAATAAAAGAGCAACCGGCGCCTCGACGGCGTTTTGAGACGTAATAAAAGCGGGGAGGGAAGGTGGAAATCAGACCACACCTGTTTTGCAACAGGGAAACCAAGATTTAAGTCTTACGTGCTTTCCCAGCCAGCCTCGTGCGTCCTTTTAATTTATAATAGTGCTCAAAAATGGAATATTTTCGTCTGAGCTCGGGGAGCAGCTCCCAGGAGCCCTGGCAGGGTCGGGGTGCGCAGGGAGAGGAGCATCCCCGCGGGAATTCCGCGTTTACACCGCCAGCTCCAACCCCGCCGTACAGAGGTTATTTGGGGAGGAAGTCGGGATTAAAAAGTGGATTCAATAGATTGTTCGGTTGGGGGAAAAAAAAAAGGAATAAGAGAAAGAAGCGCAGCCTGAGACGCGTCTGCAGCGCCTGCCCCGGACTCAGAGAGCCCCGGGCCAAGCCGGGGAGATAAATTAGAAATACCCTTGAAAATGATACCTTTAATTTCCTCCCTCTCCCCTCCCTTCCCTCCCTCCCTCCCTCCTTCCTCCCACCTCTCCAAACGAACCCACTTCAAATGAACGCGCCCCTAAATTGAAAGTTAAACGCCGTGATGGAGGAGGGAATATTACGGGGGAAAGTTGGGAGGTGGGTGTTGGATTTTTTTATTCTTTCTTTTTTTTTTTTATTGCCGTGAAATTATACCTGCTTGTTTTAATACCCCGAAAACAAATGGCCTTTATTATCCATTACCTGTTCTATAAACCTGGAGTAGAAATGACTGTTCTAGAGAGATAAGTGTAGTAATTACAAGGGCGAGGAGATGGATCACCCGAGTTACAGCTAAACGGTAGCCCTTATATAGTGATATTTTATAAATACCAAGCAAATTCATGGCAATTAATTAAACCCGAGCCTTATCAGGCGAAACAAAACGCTTTACGTTCTCTTGAATTTCACCTACTCCATGAATATATCCGCATCGGGAAAGCAAATGGATTTTCCAGAATGCCTTTCCCAGG